CCAAAATCACTTAGCTTTTCCCTCAAAAGTCACATGAATGTGCCCTTAAGTTAACTGATTTGTGGAATACAAAATTATTGTTTGATTTAAGTTATAAATTTATCAATGGGAGCTTCGCTTTTAGTCGTGGCCGTGGCTAAATCTATATATTAAATACATAATTAAGAAATGTAAAAGAAGTACGTACCAAAAATCCTTTCTCATAAGAACTAGTAGAATTTGGAATTGTTTAGTGGATGAACTAGATTTGAGCTCATCGACCTTAGCTTCCTTTAAATCGGTTATTTTTAATTATTATAAGTCCACGTTAGCTGTTTCCTATGATTGTGAAGACCCACGTTCGTTCAAGTCTATCTGTTGAAAATGTAATAGTGCTCGTCCATTGTGTCGTCCAAAAACTAATTGTAGCTATAGTTTTTCTTGTATCGCTGTGCTTTTAATATTTATTGTTTTTATTTTTTTTTAGTATCCGGGCCACAGCTGTTGCAGTGTCCCTACCATCGTTCTTTCTTTCTTTCTTTCTGTTTGTTTGTTTTTTTTTTGGCGAAGCTAATAAAATAAAAACTAAAAATAAAAATAAGTAGTAGATACTTCATTCTTGCGCAGTTTAACGATTCCACAAACCGTTTCGAAAACAAACAAAGAGAACTGTCTCCGCGTATTCTCTGTTGTTGTAAGAAAACAACAAGTCAGCCATTTTGTTTTAGATATATTTTTAAGTTTTTTTTGAACTGAATTAGTTATTTAACATACCTAGCTGGCAGGGTTAAATTTAACCCGCCGTTTAACTTAGGTTTGTGCTAACCAGTGTTTGAACAACACAACAAACCTGCGATTAAAATTCAACCTCGGATTACGCCAATTTAACCCGAGGTTAGGATTTTACCCGCTTTCAAACAACCTGGCCCTGGCAGTTAAGTCAATTATATTTGAATTCATCATTGAGGTTATATAAATATTCAAAGGTACATGTTTCTAACATGTTTGCAAAAAATCTCCGTATTGCAGTATTGTATTACAGACTTACCTTTTTTCCCGCTTTACCACTTCTGGGATAGCCTGCGCACACAGACGTATTTCCCGTCGTCGCTTCTCTCCACCCGATACGTAACACGTCTGCGTCCGCAGGCTATATTTGGGGTAGCTCAGTTTATCCTTAGTTTAGGTAAGGTAACTTTTGATAATAATGAGTTTGAAATAGTGAAAAAAAATTAACCAAGGCTACAGTATATTTGAACTACAACATATCTTTCTACTACAGAACATAGGTTCACAGGATATTTTATTGGGTAGGATGGCACCAAAAAGCTACTTAGGGATGTGACAGTTCTATCAAACAAATCCCGCAAAACACATTGCAACTCACTAAAGAAAAGTATATGGTTGAAGACTTTTTTTATGTTCTGAGTAACCTCATGACACCAACAAAAATAAATTAAAATCCATAGGCTGACCGCCAGGGAGCCTGTCAGGTGGAGTTTGGGCTGGAGATTAAGGCAAAGTTAGGATTACTTATTGTCAATATGACCACTACAGGGAAACTTCCACATTCCTACAACCAACTCTGCCCAGCAAAATAAGTGTTAAAGGAGAAAAACACACAAAGATTCTACAAACAAACCTGGAGAAAGGCTTAATGCAATTTTGGCCTGGAAGTCTGCAGCTTCACATCTGTGAAAGTTTTCTGATAGGATGAGTAGAACTTTATTGCATCGTTCCTCAATAGCTTTGGCTGCAGTTTCAAAGAGATCGGCACCAGGCAAGAAATCTCGATAATCAATGCACACTTTCATGTAGTAGGGCGCTTTTTCCAGATAGTGAAGAATCTCATCAGCAAATGACTTGTCAGGACCAGCATAGCAGATGAACCCATCATACCGTTCACAAACTAGCAATGACAGAATTAACAGTAGGAAATAAAATTATAGTAAATAAAAACATAAACAACTAAGAAACATAATTCAAAACAAGAAATTAAAATTCCACTCCTAAAATCTCAAAATGTAGTGATTTGGTTTAAAAACAAATATAATGTTCCTAACAGTTTTTCTAGAAAACGTAAACCTAAGACCTACGACCTAAGGCCCCGTGAAAATCTAAGAACCCCCTTACATAGATGTCACATCAAACCCTGTTTTAACGAGCAGGGTGAGAGATTAAAATCACTTCCATTCCAGCAAGCTGAAGTCTACTAGCCAGGATCTCAGAGGAGCCAAATTATTAAATTTTAATTTTTTCTGCCATCTCCAGCTAGCTATTGAAGAGAGGAGACCAAAGAGGCATTACTTAATTTCTTTTGGGAACTCTGCATCTCAGGTCAAGTAAATCAAAAGAGCCATGCAACACCACACCATCAATCAGTAGCTTGAATTTCAATTTGCATACATTTGCATGGATAATTGTAGGACTTCTACTTCAGCCATAAGATGTTGTTAACAGTTGTAATCTATCAGTCAAATTATATTAAGGTTTATTATCAATGTCTACAAAGTGAGGGTCTGAGTTCATCAAAAATTTAGCACTCAGTGATTTGCCGACGAAACAACACCCATCTTTAACCCATGTATACATGGCTGTATCATGAAACTTATAAATTGGAACATGTATGTATAATGATGGCTTACGTAGCCAATAAAAAGAGACAAACTATGATCTCAACTGATAACTGATATTACCTTACATAAAACATTCCTAACACTTACTTCAGTTTCAGGGGGTCTTCTAATTTTTTGGGACTTAGGTCTCAGTTTCGTAGATAACCTATTCCCAGTCTAAGCATTTTTCAAATGTCATTTTCTGGAAATGGCATGGAAATTAGAATGATTTGTTTGTATGATTTTATTACATTTTGCATCATCAGTACATTATAAACTAAAATTAAATACTGAAATTGTAATTACTGGGTCTCAGTTTCCTTTTTTCAATGTATTTCACATTAAAATAACTAATAGATTGTATTAATAGTGTAAACATCTCTTTGAATTTATTACAGTTTGGACAGCTCTGTTATCAATCACAATTAAGTTTTGGTAGGGCAATTTTAGGTCGATTGCATGTGGTAATCAGGTAACAACCCAGGGGGGCACTCTAGACTTCAAGTGAATGGGGGCAAAAAATAAAACCAAAACAAAATCCCTAGGACTTCTAACAAAACCCCAAAAATCCCTGAACCAAAAGTTAACCCCCCAAAAAATGCATGCCAAATTTCTTAGCCTTAAAAATTTCCAGAAAGCATATCATTAAATGATATAGCACTAAAAATAAACACATTCGAAATTGAATGTTTGTGTTTGTTTCTTCATCATACCATCTGAAGTTATTGCGAATCTTCGAATAGTTTTGAGTACCCAAAAAATCCCTTAAAAATCTCTTTTCTTAAATCAAGCCACCCCCCAAAAACTTGTCAAATTTTCCTAACCAAAAACTCCGATAATAAAAAATTTCAAACCCTCCAAAAATCCTCTGATCATCCACGTCACTTGTGAAATATGTAATACCCCTCTGGGGTTAACACCAACAAAAAAAAACCACAATTTCTAAATTTATACGTTTGAAAACAGTTTCAATCACACTCACTCAAACTACTTGTGATTTCAAGGTACAGTGTACATTTAAAAATCACTGAAAATCTAATCCTGGAGTAATAGCAGAGTTCTTGCGCATGGTGGAGCACAATGAGTAAGAAAATTGGTTTTTGATAAATGCATCCATGAAAATTTGGTAGTTATGTGACCATAGGTCTGTCATTCCGTACATCTATCCGCCCGTCCATCCGTTCATACCACAGGGAAACCAATGTAAAATATCACATTTTCTAGCTAGTATGGGACCGTGTGACCTGTGTTTAACTTGATAATAGAAATCTATATAATGATCAATTGACAGCTGTCAAAACATAATATCTGCTGACCAGAATGACATGACTGTATTGCAGGCTCAGGTGTCAACTCATCTAGGTAAGGCGTTTTTTTTCAGGTTTTCTGCTGACCAGTTTTAACTGATCGCAGGTTCAAATTTATGTTTTTCAGCTAGCCCGCAAAAGTCACATGGTCCTCCCCTAAAGTTAAGAATAGATTTATGGATTTTTTTTGCAATTGTTCCAAGTTCATGGTCTGAAGTAAATTACAAAAATGCATAAATGGGAGCTTTGTTTTTAAGTCTTGAACTAAATATATACCATATTAAGTATGTGTGGCTACCATTTATTTCTGGTTCTGGTTTAGGTGTAGGTAAAATACTGTATTGTTTAGATTGCAAATTCCTCTCCTAGGGAATTTGCATGTGTTTTTCAGGAGGAGATAGAGTTTTTGTTCTGGACAGTTTGGTCATGCAAGAAACAGTTTTTCAGTGTACAGTACGTACGGTCAAGTACAGTATTAATAAAATTTATTCAGTTCTGTTCAATTGTATGTGTTGTGATTTGTAGGAGGCAACTTGTTGTCTCGTTGGGTTCATTTGGAACTCACAGTATGTGATGCAACTCCTTGTAACACAATATGGAGGCAAGTTCTATCTGACTTGCTTCATTTATATTTAATTACCAGTTGAGATCCCAATTAAAGCTTCATCCAGTTACAAGAATACTTGAGACACTGTACCTTACTTGGGCTTAAATGGCCTGTCCATGATCTTGTGCTTGTGATCCCTGATTCCCTTCACAAAGTGCCTACCAGTACTAGACCATGCTAAAAACTTAGAGGAACAACTATGAATGGAGGGAAGGGAGGTGGTGGGTGCTATATTTCACAGATGTGTGACTTGCCAGCCATTTGAAGCAAGAAAGGCCAGTTTTTTTTTGTCAGAATGTCTCAACATTTTTACAACTGGTTGTTGCTTGCTGGAAAATATTCCTTCATTAATTCATATAAACAGATATGTTGCATAAACAGATATCGCATTCTATGATATTTAGCACCAACATAAATAAATGGCTTACCAGTAACTTGAGTTCGATGTTGCTCAAATTCCTGTTTTTCTATTTCCTGCCTCTCAAGTGGAGTAGGAGTATTTTCTGTAGTTGTATCACAATGCAGGAATATTAATCAGAAATGAGAGTATTAGTGGCTAAAAATGTTCTTTAGACAAACATTATTTAGTTATAAATTATAAGGCTTTCATTCGGTGGTTTCCCCAGTTATTCAAAGTTGACCTCTGTTTACTTTATAATGATATACACAACAACAGTGTACATGTTGTGGTTCAATAATATTATTTTATCCTTGGTTTAAACATTTTTTTCCTTAATTGTTTTTGGGTATGGTAATGTATGATAATGAGTTTGTTACAAAGAAAAAAAAGTTTAAACCAAGGATAAAACTGAACCACAAAATATATAATGGCATGTTTGTCTCTAAGTCTCTGAGTTTTTTAAACTCCGGGAAAACATAATTTAAATGTTTTGCCCAAGTTTGAAAGCAAGTAAATTGATACAAATTTTGTATCATGCACTTCGTACTGAATCAAGAGCCTAACTTCCTAAACCAGTAACACATATGAATGGATATATTCATTTAAGTAAGAATAAAGAGAATAAAAATAGATACCATGTCATGCTCTCCTTGGTTGCCCTCTTGCACAAAGTCATGTGCTTGAAAAAATAGCGGTACCCAAGGATTATTGCGGAAACAATGGCTGCCATCTTTGGTTACCAATCCCCCTGACAAATTATACAACTGACTGTCAACCAACTGTTACCAGCTGGTAACCAGGTCTATTACAGCTTTCAATCAAAGATGGCTTCTGTATCGGATGAAATTCAAAAGTCCCCATCCCCGGGACTTGGAGATAATCAAAAGTCACCACCATGGGCCGACTTATCTTGTCAAATCCACAGCCCTTACCCAACCTCCCCCCTCCAGATTAACATTGATGGGTTCATTTTATGGGTAATTTCTAAAAGCTAAATTATGAATTGGGGGGTCGGTTGGAAAATCTTCTAAGCCTTCTTGAAGTGCCTCCCAGCCCCTAACAGGCATTTAAATATTAAAACGACCCAAGACCCAAGGGTAATAATTGCCATAAATTAAATTCTGAGGCAAGCGAATTTGGTTTGAAAAACCCGCATACTTGTCCTTATAAAGTAGCACACTTGTAGTCCAACATGAGGCTAGCCATGCATAAACAAAGGTTTTTAATTCTCCTGAGACAAGATGGCCGCTGCGTGACAAAGTTCTAATATATAGATTTAGCCAGGGCTAAAAGCGAAGCTCTCGATAATATTTATAGTTTGTTCAAACAAAATATAAAATCGTGTAATGCTAAGCGGCGAAGGCAACGCCGGAGAACAGAGAAAAAACAACAATAGGTCTAATTAGCAAAAAAGCAACCTTGCACGTGCAGCACACTTTTTTTGTACATTTCTTTGCCGTTGTTTTGCACGACCGCCACGTGAAACTTCAAGAAACTTTTTTATGGAGGAAATGTCGTACGTGTTCTCGTTCACTTTTTTTATCACTACCGCTCATTTTCTCCTTGCATTGGTGGCCGCTAGCATTTCTCATTTTGTCACCGCCCCTACAAAATTTTCATGTTGTTCTTCCAACAAAAAATGTCTTCTTTGTTTTTTATCTCTCGCTCTAGATCTTCTCGCTCGGTTGCCGTTTTTCTCGTTGAGTTTCTTTGGCCTTCCTCTTTTTCTCTGTCTTTCTCTGGCTCTATATTCCAAATGTGTGGACATGACAATTAATCTAAGCTTAATACTTTTGCAAACACGGATACAGAAACAATTTCCGCTTTTCGGTTTCGTCTTTATTGACTCTTTAGTTGCCTCTGCTTTACAGACGCGGGTGGCTATGCGATTTCCCGCCAAAATAACCTCGAGTTGCATTTGGGTTGCCATACCTGTTGATTGAGTTATTTCACATTGGTATGCCTGTGGTGCGGACGGACGGTCGGGCGTACGGTCACGTGATTACCAAATTTTCGCGGATGGGTAGATTACCACATTTTCTTACCCATGGTGCTCCGCAGGCGCGCTTCGCGCGACAGAGCTCCGCTATAATTAAACCTAAAGGTCACCATTGACAGTAGAGAATTTGCAACTCAATGTCAAGACTTTTAGTAGAGGCCGAATAAGTGGATTCATTTCATAAATGCACTGATTTACAGGATTCAAAATGTCTTTTACGATCTCAGTGTTTCAAAACTTATAACCAAGAAGGTTAAATTAAGTTGTAACTGAACAAGGGGTGAAATGGACTGGACTTTGGCAAGACGAACCGGAATAATCATAAACTTAAATCTTGCTTGCAGTGAGCGAGCATGCTAATTGTATATCAAATGCACCTCAAATGTTGGACAAAAGAAAGATATTACATGATAAACAAATTAACTGTAAATTATACAGGAAAAAGCACTGACTCTGCTGACTAACCAAAAGTTACATCGATACTTGCTAAAAACGTAAGTAAGCTTAAGCATACCTATAAATGGTTGAAGGTCTTGAATCAAATCAAATCGTTCCATTTCACTCAAAAAGGATATTAGTTCTGAGATCGTCTTCCCTCTGTCCTCATAATCTTTAATCAATTCCATCACAGGGCCTTTATCTTTCTTGGATTCAAAATACAAGATGGTCTCCATCGGGTACCCCATCTTGTCCGCGAGCGTTTTCCAGTCTCGACCCGGATTTGACGGGAGAAGAAGAACGTCCATCTTCCGATGAGCTTCAAAGCTCAAATCTTTCACCAACTTTTCGTCCATTATTCAGCAAAGAATGTTTCAGAAACCTAAAGAAGACAGTTCATTCCTTGTCAACTTGGCCTCAGCGGGTTAGTGGCGCGCGTGGGAGTGGAGTAGCACCCTGGGGAGGCCGTCAACAAAACCCGGATGGACCCGGATCGGATCGCTTGGATCGGATCCGACTGCGGCTCGGATCGGACTCCGGATAGGATCGGATCGGACTGGTATTTTCGCTTCTGGTGCAGAAGAATTATTTTGAGAAAAGCTGCTTTTAGTAGTAACACAGGTGGCTCGGAATAAGAAATCCAAGTTCTCAAAACAGCTAAGAATCTAACCTATGACAAGTCCGTTTGGACTAGTAACTGGTTCGATTCAGATGTTTTCTTCCAAGCCACCTGTGCCACTAATAAAAAAATCGCTTCTCATGTATCAGCAGGCTTAAAATTGACCATCAGCTTAAAAATCATCGCAAAGAATTATTTTCAACTGAACTTCACTGGGAAATTTTCTGTTACATAACTTCATAAGATTACAATTGCCAAAAAGAGGCTTGGTCACGTGACATCACCCGAATCGAAGATGGCGGAGAGAGATGTAAGTATCTCACATTGCACTGATTTGGTGTTTTTTTCCATCTCTACTCTTTTCTGAATTGGTGTTGTTTTTAACTGAGCCTATTTCAGAGGAGACGTTTAAGAAAATCGCGGAAATGAGCAAGGTACGATAGCGACGACTTGTTGTCAACAAGAGAATGACCTCTTCAAATTTAAGGCGAATTGCCAGTCCGATCCCATTCGATCCGCAATCCGATCCGATCCGAACAACCCGATCCTGGTTTTGTTAACGGCCCCCTGGGGACGAGGTTGGATTTGGGATCCCAAAGGGAAGGGAAGGGGAAGGGAATTAGGGCGCGAGAGCTCGAGACCTCGCGCCCAAATTCCCTCTTCCCCTTTTAACGCCTGCCATGCAGGCTAGGATCCTTACGAGAAGGGTGACATCTTATCACTTAAGAAGGTACAATGGAGAGCAGCTCGCTTTGTTAATGGCCAGAGGCTCCCATTGAATGTTGAAAATTGAAAACACTTTTTAGGCTATCCGCTAGAATACTTTTAGACTCAGAAATGCATTCTCAATGGCGCAATAAAATTTGTATCCTTTCGGCCATCCTAAGGCAACTTAAGTCTTTTCGAAATTATCAGGGCTTCAGTGTTTATTTGCCGAAAAGTTAACAGTCTAACGTTTTACGTAAAAGTGAGAATTTTTCAAATTCCTCTCTCCATCGCATTTTTGAACAAGAAAATTTTAGGTTTCCTTTTTACTACGACTAGCCAAACCTGGGGAGTGAAATGTGAAAAATTAAACTTCAGATAGACTGTTCACAGTCCTCTATTTTTCCGTAAGATCGTCGAGATCGAGTGCTTTGCGTTACGGTAAGACGCAGTATATCCAAACGATCTCAAGAAAAAATAGGGGACTGTGAACAGTCTAAACTTCAGAAAATCGTGGGAAATTTTATTAGGTAAGCTGCGAAAATTGTCCATGAATCGAACAGTCACCTCGAAATTTTTAGCCGTCCTCAAGTGATAGAAAATTCTAGGTAATATTTGCTTCTCCGAACATATATTCTCACAGCAGCAAAAACAGTCGTTGGGTGCCCCTGAATGGAAACTACCGTACTAGAGAGTCAAGCGTGACGAACATAATTAATCGGTTGGCGGTCGCTTGAAGAGCGTGGAGTGACAGCCCGCCTGACAGTTATGTACAAAATCGTCCAAGGACCCAGTGTCGACTGTATCTCCACTTCACCCATCCTCGGAGACCCAGGGGCAGTCAGTCGGGTCGGGAGAAAAGGCGGGACGAAAGTTTTCAAGTACAGGCGAAAGAGCCCCTGGGTACCGACTCTCACCGAACTATTTCCAAAAATTCAAGCGGATGCCGGCTCCTGATTGGGCACAAAAATTGCTTTGTATTATTGTGCCCAATCTGCGAACAATTTCTCCTGAGTTCTTTTTGTGAGTTCGTACACGACGGCTATTGTCTTGCCACACTTGCCCGGTTCGTTCATGAAGCTTGTGCGAGCAATGGAAACTTTTATTTTCTACTTTCCTAACCAGAAACGAAGGAACTACCGATGAGTCGAAAAAACGTTGGGGATGCTATCAGCAGGAGCAATTCAATTTGCCCCGAGAATCTTCTGATTTTGACTCATCACAATGTATCGTAAATAATAGGAATATAAAGATGCAGCGGCGACGAGAAAGTCAAATAAGCAATAGCTTGCAATTGACAAGACAAAACAACAACTTTGCACGTGCATCACACTTTTTTGTACATTTCTTTGCCGTCAACTCCACGACTACCTGTGAAAATGCCTTATTTCATGTTTTGTGAAGGACGCAAACAAGCAATGACAAAATTCATTCTCTTCATGAACTTGGATATGTTGATAGAAATTCAGCTCCACAAGACTTCGCTTGCCTTGACAAAGTAAGCGAGTTGGAATAATCACGATAGAAACTGAGAAAATGTGAATTCCCTTTTCCATGCGACGTTTTCGTGGTTGTCAGCCGTCGTGGTATCTTTTAAGAATTCCCTAATATTTATTGGCAAGACGTGACCGATGAAAGCGTTAATACCTGTTGTAAGCTCAAGCTTGTATTTTTGGAAAAGCGACTTTAGTTTTCGGGCAGACAGTATTTTGAAATCAGATGGGGATTTTATATCAAACTTAAAGTTTCCTGACTGCGTGCATTTGTTTGGTGCATGAGCCTCACAAGCCGTGATTGAAACAATAGCCGTCGTGTACGAACTCACGAAAAGAACTCAGGAGAAACTGTTCGCCGATTGGGCACAATAATAAAAAGCTTTTTTTGTGCCCAATCAGGAGCTAGAATTTTTGGAAATGGTTCGGTGAGAGTCAGTACCCAGGGGCTCTTTCGCTTGTACTTGAAAACTTTCGTCGCGCCCTTTCTCCCGACCCGACTGACTGCCCCTGGGTCTCCGAGGATGCACTTCACCCCTCCTTCCAAGTGGTGGCCAAAAACGTCATACTTCTCATCTGTCATCTTCGACTACAATCTAATACCAACTGTTAGCGATCATCTTCGTTTTTCCCACGCACAATTCCTGAATGGAACTCATCACCACTAAACTTTGAGCTGTGCAACCTCCGACCCAGTCATTTGATGGCCTATCTAATTTAAACATTTCATTGGATATTAACACTAGCGATTATCATAACTAAGACAGCTGATCATACTCCTGTATTATATATATCCCGCATGGGAGATTGATACGGTTATCAATTAAGATTTAGATTTAGATAAGGTACAATTTAACGTCCTGTTAACACAAGATTACATATAACGAGCTCATTTTGACCCAGATTCTCGTTAAAGGATGGACCATTAGAAAAGTGATGGGGGTTGGGGAGGAGGAGTGGTGGGGATTTTAAGAGATGCGAGAATTTTGTTGTACATGTTAGCCTGTTCCAGGCGTTCAAATAGTGGGGAGCGGTGCAAAGTAAAAAGGAGCGCGAAAAAATAAAAGCGTACCTCTCTACCCAGTCCCCCTCTACTTTTCATCGCTTTCTTCACTTCGCACTGCTCTCCACTATCTGAACGCTTGGAACAGGCTATGTACATGTGAGGTCGTAAACCATTTTTTTTCCTCCTTGGGCAAAATTATTTTTTTGGCCAGAATCCGTAGGAATATTTCTTTTATTAATAATTTCCTGGAGATTTTTTTTGCTTTTGCCCCACTCCCCATCACTTTTCTAATGGTCCATCCCATCCCTATAAAGCCCGAGCTTAATGGCTTAATAAAGGCAGCCACTGATAGGCCTGCTAGCAGTCTTGACGTTTACTTTTTGCTTCATCTCCTTTCCTCTTCTTATTCAAAGAAAGACTTAACTATTTATGCAATATCAATAATTTTTTTCTCAGTAATACGAGCTGCGATTTCAATTTCCCTTACTTATGATGGTTATGAAATCATATTGTTTAATGCTTCAGGGACACCAAGCAACTGGCTTTCTCTCAGTCTTATAGAAACCTACTAGGGCTACCTGACTCGGCAAATGCATTCTAAGAAGCGCCTCAGCTCACTGTAGTGGTACAGTAGAACTCCAGTAACTCGAACTCTGTTGGAAGCGTGTGTTCAGCACCTCGGATTCGCAATCCGATACGGCGGTCCTGGGTTCGAATCCCGCGCTATGGCCACTTGCTGGATTTGTTTTCGGTCGTCCCGAGTTTAAATCCCCGGCCACACTTATAAATAGCCAACTGGTTGCCTCCAGCCAGTTGGGGTCTTAATTCTGTTATGTTGTATTTGCATTATTTGCTTCTAAGTACTTGAGGGAGTGTCTGTAAATTATAGCTGGACAAGCTAAGTGCATTTTCGACTATGAACAAGCCTTTAAACCTTTTAACTTTTTAATATTCTATATTCTATTCTATTCTTTTTACGCTCGGCCGCTTTTATGTTATTGATGCAAATGTTCCTTTGCGGCATCTTTTTTGTTCAAATTTTATTTGTTCAATGAGCAGCATCACAATTTTCAGGTTAGATAAGGTTAGCACCCATTTACATAGGAATGTTGCCTCTGACCACATGAATCAGGCATCAAGGAATCAGGAATGCCGATTCATAGCTTGAATCTCTATCGCTTAATACTATTCAGTAACCAGTTGCAGAAATTCTAGAGGCCCGGCTGGTGCCTAGCTTGAACACTTTTCAACGAGGTTGTCTCTTTCTCTGAGACTGAAAATTAAGGCTTTGACCTCTGCCAAGGATTAAGCTTAAGCTGGTTTACGTGCTACAGGTAGGTTTGCATTTTTGTCAACTGTTGGCTGGCGGAATACTTATTAATAGGACATTCTGTTCAGCGACTGAAGAAATTTTGACGAGTCGTTAAAAAAGTGACCGCTGATCTCTGAACACTGAATCTCAAAAGAATCAATCATTCCTATTTCGAGACACTGAACAATTATTATTAATGTACAGCTGGGTGATCTAATGAGCCGATCCGCTCTACATTTGTACTCGCATAATCTTAAAGCCGTACTATAGAGAGAGAAAGAGCGAGGCGCGAAAATTAAGCACGGATTCGGAGCATCGCAAGGCGGGATTAAGATGATAAAAATCAGTAGATTCACCTCTTGTAAATTCACTGGAACAGCATACATCCGTGGTGGTGAAACAGTTGGGAACTTAAGCAGAGACGTTTTTGAGCGAGGACTCTTCGCATTCGTGGGCAGTTTTTATGCCAAAATCCAGTTCAGGTGAATTATCTCTATGCGAGTAAAGAGACTTGAATAGATACATTTAGTGGCGTCAAGGCATCATTGAAAGGAAAAATGCCTCACTTCCGGTTGAGTTCGTCGCTCAAAAACGTCTTTGTTTATGTTCCCTAATGTACCCCAACAGAAAACGGTTTGATAGCAGGTAGTTCGAGATCATAAGTAATCAAAAGAGAAATTACCGGTAAGACCGCAAAATCATTTCAGATCAGGTCACTGATAGCCCGGAATTGATACAAATGTTTCTCTGTCATTGTTAATCAGCAGGTCTTAAGAGCCTTCGTACATGTATTTATGTATACATTCCCCATGGTTTATGATTTCTAGTTCACACGTCACTAGCTACATTTTTTTGAATGACTGCAATATAGTAAGTCTGAGTGGATTATCGACCGAAGTAGTTTTGTAAAAACCTCTTTCTTTGAACAGTCTGGAACAGGGCTAGGCTACACCTAGCAACAGACTCAGCAAACAGTAAACATAAGTGACTTTAGAACAAAATACAAGAGCTTCTCACAACAGAAATTTATCAGATAATAGATACTACTTTTAATTAAGGACGCGTGAATGCGTTTCTTCTCGGTTGTTGCGAGGGCTGCAATCGCGTGAGACATTCTGGGGTCTAGGACAGTAGGAAAGTTGGAAACCTCTTCGAAGATCGCCTGCCCAGTGTAATGAAGTGCCACATTATGAGTGATCAGTACGGCTCGAGAAGAATATATTCTCGGCTCTAGACTTCGCACCAGCTCACCGCAAAATTCAAAATGGCCGCGAAAGAAAGACATCCGCAATCTTTATTTATTTATTATAATGAAAGCCCCTTGAGATACAACCAAACAATTTTTAACGTTATTGCAGATTCCACTGCACGTAAAAAAAAAAAGGAAATTCGGTCAGTTGAGTGTGAATCTAGGCTCTGAGAGTCTCCAGGGCTTAGGTGTCTCGATGCACCCGCAGTACTCTCCAGGCTGATCGAGGTGGGTTGAGTAAAGATGATTAATTAGATGATTAAAATTTAAATTTTGCTGGGAAAAAGTAGAAAAAAAACTACAATAATATTAGACAATAGACGTTAAGCACGTTGACCATCTAGGGTCAGCTTAAAGTTAAAAAAAAACAATCGTTACTTAAGAATGTATTACTAAATGATAACCCGAGACTACAACGTGATCTAACCTATGACTAATAGTAATCTTTTATATGTAAAAAGGAATTCGATAAAACGTTTTGGCCGTAATATTAATGTTAGGTAACCGTATTCTTTTGTATCATGTTTTGTAGGTAAAGAATTAAGAAATTGAAGAAACGGACGTAACTATGCAGAAAGGACAAAAGAAAATCATCCAAAAGAATTTTGAGGCACTCTTGGAAGATTTAGACCCAAATCCGCTGATGAATTTTTTATACCAAGAAGACATCATCACTAGAGATGACATCGATGAAATGGATTCGATAAAACCACGTAAAGAAAAGAGTAAGGCCTTACTATTCACGCTGCAGAGAAGGGGCCCGAATGCTTTCCTAGCGCTTGTCGAGGGACTAATAATAAAAAAGAAACAGTGGCTGGCTACCTTGTTATTGAAAGAAGGTAGGTGTAATTAATTAATTAAGGCAAAGATCTCTTCTAGAGGCGTTTGTTACCCTGAAAATACAAACCGAAATAAATAGACGTTCAGTTCCTGAGGAATGGAACGAGTTGCAGCTCAACAGATTAGGGAGCCTAACACCCGAAAGCAAGGAGTTAGCGCGCACATAGACGACGTGGATTTAACACTTCAATTTACCATTTTCCCTTTTAATAAACTTCTTAAGCTGATTTAAGAATATGAAAAAAAAAAACGCAACACACAAAAAGGCAAACAAAGAAATTAACAAAGAAAAAAAATTATTTGAAAGTATAAGCCACCCCAGCGCAAAGCAAAGTAACGACTTCTATTTCAGAGACAACTTTTGGCTTATACTGGACTGTCCAGCAGCTGTTCAAAAGGTTTTTGCTGCTAGTAGTTACTTCAATTTATCTACATGTATCTTCACTTGAGACCCTTTTTTAAATTTGGCTTCAAATTGGCTCTTTAAAAAAAACTTTGCTTTGAAAGAGCTCGTGCTAGCCGAGTTTCTGCACTATACCCAGTGTGAGACGTAAAAGCGATCTATGACAAAGTAGACTTGCTAATCTGTCTGCCAGTTAGCATATGAATAATAAATAAACATCATGATCATGTTGTTCATGTTGCAGTTAATTTTTTACTTTGGTTAATTTTTATTTTTCCATTGTTTTTCGGTATGGTAATGTATGCTAACGAATTTCAAACATAGGAAAAATAAAAATTAACCGAAATAAAAAATTAGCTGAAACATACACGAATGCAATTAATTCCAGACCCTGTCCCAAGTAACATGCTATACTGACGGAAAGAGCTTTTTCGTCAGAAATCACCCTAAAAAAGAAAAAAGAATCAAAGAGGAAAATAGAGAGATTGAGGGGAAAGAATGGAGGCAAAGGATAAAAAAACATATTTGCCCTCTTGATTTCTATATTGGCTACTTTGAAAATAAATTCTGAACAAAACGCGGGGGACGACTGCTTGACGGAAGAAGTCTATGGCAGTAACGGCCTCAAAATCCAGCTAGATGATTCTGCAAAACGATTGTTGGTTAATTGGAGGCCCAGCAATGACACGGCCATTTGCTAGTGCAGAATGCCGGGCAGACTTCAAAAGACGACTGGCTGAATTCTTTGGAATTATCTAGCAGGATGTTCGAAAACGTAACGAAAATCACAGTTAGAAAGAAAAAGGGGAAAAATAGGACTGAAAGGCAAATACAAAGAAAAGGAAGTGAAGAAAATTTAACAAGAGAAAGAAGAAATAAACTGGATTTTTCACCATTATAATTAAGACATTGAAATTACATTTGAATAGCGACAACTACCAATGAGAGTCTTACGTTATATCTAACAGTTTTGTATCTAATTTTTTTTCTTTAGAAAGACAGCGACTCTCTGGAGAAGGAGTAGAAGAAACAATGACCTCTGAGGGCGAAGAAGCGGAAAGTGAAAAGGAGGATGAGTCTGGAAAAACGACGATGGAGTTAAAAAGCCAACTGGAGGATGTGAACAATCGATTACAGCTTGCTGAAAGGGAAAGAAATCAATATGCTAACAAGTGCCATGATTTGGAAAAACAGATAGAGAGTTCTGAAGAGATGAGGAAAGATCTTTTAAAAAAATGTAATGACTTAGAACAGCAGTTAATTTTGAAAGAAAGTGAATGGTCATGGAAATGGGAAAAAGATTTCGAAAAAATGAATGAACAAAAAAATTTGAACAGTCCAAACCCGAGTCATGGGAAGAGAACTTCTCCATCAGGATCTGGGGAAGGCTGCTTTGAAGGTACGAAACACAAATTAATAAATCTGTTTTAAATTTTTGTGTAAGTCAACTTTCTCTCTCGCATGCACGACTTTTAGCGTTTACGAAGTCGTTCGATTCGCTTGTCAGTTGCGTAGTTGGTTTGTTAACGACGCGACTGACAAGCGACGCGCCCGAACGACTTTGTAAACGCTAAAAGCCATGAAAGAGAGAAACCACCGCTCACAGTTGTGTGGTTTATGCGTTTCGGAACACAAGGTTAGCTGTATGCAACATGCATTTTTGAAATATATCCACTGATTTTTGGGTTCTATGACGCCCTTGGTAGGAACATGATAATATGATGCTGTTCCTTCTGAAAGTCGGTTTTTAACTCAATCGGTTCAGTTTGAAAATGTGACCGTAGTTTATCACAGTTGGAAGAGTATAAGTAAAGCTCGATATTTGAAAGCTTCGTTTTCTTTTGGCAACAGACCAAAGGCATATTTTTGCTCTTCCTAGCTGACATCACTCACTGTTGGAAATGACACAAAGGCTATTTATCCTTCTGAACATGCCTGGAACATTGGTGTTATATTTGACAGTACTTTAAAATGACGTTATCCAAACAGGTTAATGCCATAGTTAAATCTGCTTTTTACAACCTACATAACATTGCTAAAATTAGGCAATACTTATCTTTTGATACAGCGAAAACTTATTTAGTTGTTGCGTTAGTTCTATATCGAAAATAGACTATTGTAACTCATTGTTTTTTTCGGTATGGTGCACCTAAGCATTTGGTTGCCGAGGTTGCAGAACGTTCAGAATGTTGCTGCACGTATTATTGTTAGACTGGGAAAAATGCTCACATTACTCTTGTTTTGAAAGAGCTTCACTGGCTGCTAGTAGACCTGAGAATAGTTTATAATATAAATTTGCTTACTTTTAAATATATTAATGAATAGCCCCTAAGTATTTACAAGACTATGGACGTCGGCAAGCCTTATAGATTGAGCTTCTTAACTGATGGGATTAGACTGAACCTGCCTCTGTATGGATCCGGACTGAGGTCCTTTTCTGTTTGTGGTCCAGAGCTATGGAACGAACTTCCATCTGCGCGCTATAGATAAAGCTAAGAACACATCTAATAATTTTAAGTAGTTTTTGTTAATCAGTTTTTATTTAATGATTTAACATTCATAGGTTGAAAATGGTAAAGCGCTTAGAACAATTTGTATAGAGCGGTTTTCACTTGACTGTCGAAAGGGATTGGTTTTGGTTTTGGTTTTGGTTTTACTACGCCCTTTGGTTGGCTAGTGTATTTACTTTGGTTTTGGTTTTACGACAGTCAAGTGAAAACCGCTCTATAAGCCCATGTTAGTTATTATTATTACTATTATTATTATTGTTTGAGGGACAAGCTTACGAGTTCAAAAACAGCAACCCTGAATATCTGTGAGGGCTTTGATCTTTTACTTTAAACAAACACTTTGCCTGATATTTTACTGATTTTTATAGAAACAAGTTGTTGTATCAGTCAGAGAGAACAGACTCGAAGACACCCCGATGAAGTAAATGAAATAGGTCGCAACTCTCACATCCAACACAACCAACACAACCACCACAACCCCCACAAGCAGCACAGCTAACACAACCAACCTTAGGCTATGTCAGTGGCGGATCCAGGGGAGGGGCCGGGGGGGGCCCGAGCCTCTCCCTTATTTTTAGACCAAACTGAGGTCCGAAGGGCCGAAAAAAAACTTTTGGGACACTGCCCGCCCCTTTTCTCTGGGTCTGGATGACCAGCCCCCCCTCCCCTATCTGAAGGTCTGGATCCGCCACTGTATGTTCAAACTGATACCGGAGAGCTTTCGTGCCGACATGAACGACGATGTGAACAGCTACGGTACAGAACTGCAACGAGTGTGACAGAAACCTATTCGATATGCGACCGGCAACGCGGCGCAGTTTCGCTCCGTTAAAAAAAACGCTGCGAAATCACCGCTATTATATGTGAGCACTGCAGCCCTATATCCGGTAAATGGGAGTTTCGTCTCCCTCGGCGCAATAGCTTTCCTAAAGAGCCATAATGAGACAGGTCCCATTATGGCTCTTGCTATCCAGTATAGTATAAAAAATATAGCTTAACCAATGACGTGCGCATGTGATTATTTTTCCGGTAGAAACAAAACAGCTGTTGAACGAGATGCGTGACATAAATTTCAACGGTCCAAGCACTAGTCATGAGAGAAGCAGTTCTGCATCAGACTTTGGGGAAAGTGACTTTCAAGGTAACCAGCACAAATGATTTTCTTTCATGTTTTGCTTCCCACCTATGTAAGTTAGATCCCTTTCGCAGATACTTCCTTCCTTTAGTTTGTCTACCGCCCGACAAACACCCTAACAGGAGCTCTTACGAACATCAGTGATTAATATTAATAGTGGTTAATTGTCTTCAAAGAAGTTTAATTTTGTAACCCGACAGGCGTAAGTTGGGGTGTCAGTATACACGCGGGCTCGGGGGCCGGGGTCAATCTTTTCTAAAAGAATGCTGATTTAGGGTGAAGGTTAGGGTTGACACTTACCCGAACCCTAATCCTAAAGCAGCATTCTTTAAAAAAAAAGATAGACCCCAGCCCGGGGCCCGAGTCTGCGTTTTACGGACACACAATAAGGCCATTTCCGACTTCCAAAATATTTCAACTTTCAAAACTAGGCTAAATATAAAACCTTTATTGTGGAAATGAGATTTATTTGCATGAGAAAAAATCCTTTTCATATCACTGGTTTCACACTCGGCCTCTGTTGTGAAACAGCGGCTTAAAGCAACTCGGAAATGGTCTATTGGGGTGTTCCTATGATAGGTCGTTCTTAACATAAATAAGCAAGGGATGAGGTTATGGCCAAATTTAAAATGAAAGATTTCCTTGCAGGTGAAAATACGAGTCGAAATGATATTAGTATGGGTGACAAACAGCAGGATATTTGGCGTCGTACCTGGCCCACACTAAGAAAGGATCTTGAACCTATAAAGCTATTACCAGATTTGGTAGATGTGTTGGACCCCACAGACGAGGAAGAAATTAAAGCGAGTTCGAGAAAAACGCGAGAAGATGCAGCTGATAAGCTCCTGGAGATTCTACCCAGGAAAGGACAGAGGGCTTTTGACGTGTTTGAGAGAGCATTGAAAAAAAACCTGCCTCATTTAGCTTTCCATTTAGGTGAGTGATTAAATGTATACCTAACCGATTTTTTGAAAACCAGCCTAACGGAATTTGCAGTCATTTGAGTGAAAAGGCTCCATGCTTAAGCCCAAGAAGCTCCAATATCACACTAACGAAGGAAAAGGAAAAGAGAAAGAGAAAGAGCGAGGAGAAGGAAAGGGGGAGAAGGAAAAAAAAGCAATTGTTACACTCTTAGTTTTTATAATGGCTACTTTGGACATAGTTTTTGGCCGAAAAAACTGTTGGACGCAAAAGGTCAGTTTTGGCGGTAACGATTTTTTAAATATATATAAAATTTACATCGCGCCAACAGTTACATAAAAAGAATGAACGAATACACCTTATAAGTCAGATAAAATGGTTAAAAACAGAGTATAGAATTACTAAACTAGCAAACATTAGCGAAATTAATTAGTTGAGACGCCTATCGTAGGCGCACATTGGCCTGCGTGATGCAGATGACTGTTAAATATTATTCATGCTAATTATAGTGACTTGCATCCAAAGAAATAGAGTGAAAGAGAAAAAGGTGTATTTGTTCGTCAATCTAGATGTTACTTGGTTCGAAAACGGTTTCCCTTTTTATTGCATTTTGAGGGAGATGCGACATTCTCGCGCTTCCTTGAGAATTTGTGCCTCCAATTTGGCAACTGCACCGAAATCGCCCCCATAATTATACCTTAGTCGTGGATAATAATATATAAAAGTTAAAAGCAGACCTTTGAAATGCTCTAACATTACTGAGGTGTCGTACAATGGCAGTGGCAATAAATTCCGACTTTACGAAAGTCAAGCACACTTAACGTCCTTAACCAAGGTGAAAATGTGAAGACCCGGAAAAACTTGACCATACTATTTGTAGTCAGAAATTCATAGCTCAAGACCACGTAATTGCTGCGGTCATTTGGGTTCCACATTACATGCAATAAATACAAAGAACGAGGGAAGACTAGACTGTGTGAACTGTGAATTTTAGGTAGTTACTTAAATAATTACTCTTCAACGTCTTCTGGGTTATCCGTCCGCCATTTTGTCTTGTTTGGTCGGTGACGACTTTCCACAAACTAAATCATGGCGTGATGGGCTTAGCCGGTAAAAAATTTCTCCTTGGAGGTACTGGAAATGATAAAAGAATCAGGCTGCTTAAGTCAATTCATGCTGTTGCCTCGGGCAGGGAAAACGTATAAATTTGAACAAACTAAGGGGTACTGGGGCATGAAAAGGCTTGAAATGCTTCTAAATCATTTTATTGCCACTAGAAGTCGTGAAACTGATAAAAAGGGTGGTACCACGTGAAAAAGTCTAAAATAAGAGCCGTTTTATAGACAAAAATTACTATCAGAAAAAAAGAAAAACAGTGAAGAAAAGGAAAGAATCTTCTTGCAGCCGCATTTTAAACTCTTTGATCGATTTGAGCGATTAATGCAGTAAATGTTCTTCAACATCTTGCTGGCCAAACGTAGAAAAGTTCCCCATCCTACTTACTAAATAAAACAGACTCATTTTTTGGGCTAAACATTCAGGCTATGCTTTTATCCCATCTATCCTTACGCACGCGACCTTACTGCCATTGTCATACGTTTTGATTGAGAAGAATTTATATCAATGTTTGTGTTTTCTATTTTATAAACAGAAATGGAAGATATGAAGACACAACTGAACCAGGAAAGAGCACAGAACGCAGAAGTAAGAAAGGAGAATCAAAAACTGAAAATGGAGTTAGAAAAAGAGCGACAAAGACACAAAAATACAAAAGAGGAAAGTTATTGTTAAAAACTGAAAATGAGAACTGAAACGCTACCGATAGTACTCTTTTAAAGACTGGATAATTGTTATCAATTTTCTTTGGACACATTTGCTGTATACGCCACTTACACATCTTCCATAATGCACCCTATTTGCCCCCCCAAATTTTGCAAAACCTTTGTTTCTCATTACCGCCTTCTCAAGAGAAACTGAAAATAATTCTTATGCCAAATTTTATTGGGGGGCAAATAAGGTGCATTATGGGAGATGTGCAAGTGGCTTATAATGCAAGTTAGTAGCTGTTTGGCGTTTATCTTTGCATTGGGACATATTTGCTGTGATTTGCTGAAAATCGGCAGTGGATGCCGTGAGGAGATTTACAAGTATTAACACAAAGGTGTGCTGTAAATTTTAAATCTATTAAAATGTAATACTGTATGCTTTCAGAGCCTCCTTTTACAAAATTAGCTGTTGAAAGGTGTACTTATTGTGTAAACGTTAAATTTTCGGGGGAAAAGGAAAAATATATATAGCGAAAAATCTGAAAAGGGCCGCCATTTCGGATTATGTCACTGGCCCCCTGTATGTACCTGTATATATTTCATGAATGGTAGCCTGCGTAGCATGGCGGTTTGGATGGGCACGCAAACTAATAAAGGCGGACGAGGGCGAAGAAACCGCCAGGAAATTGGGGGGAGTATTGTTCCCGACAAAAACGACATGCTAAGCAGGCTATATGATTGGCATTGTAGACGGCATAACAGACTAAGGGTAGAAACTTTTTAAAATATCATAACGCTACTAAAGCGATAAGGAAGTTTTCAAGTAATATATCAAACATGAGATGCAGTGTTTCATCACCAGATGAAACACCGAGAAGAGAGTTGAAAATACGACGCGCAGCGGAGTATTTTTGACGAACTTCGAGGTGTTTCATCTGGTGATGAAACACTGTGTCGAATGTTTGATATTTCTTCTCAAACAAAATCATTTTTGAAGGAGAAATTAAGGATGCAAATACTAAGCAGTGTTTCATCCGATTTCCAAACACTCATTAAACATTAATTTCCTTTGTATTTTCTTAATGAATTATTAATGAGTTTGAGAATATTAAATGAAAATGGACTTTTTTTCTTTTGCTGTTTTACCTTCACCAAGAATCATCCTATGTGACATTTGGGCAAAGGTGTTCTGTCACAAAGGAACGATTTGACATCAAATACGCATTAGCAGAAGCGGTGACAGATTTGTCAAATCGTTGAAATGAAGAAGATCAGTCAGAGGAAATATTCTTTTGTGAAAAAGAACTTGGCGGCTTGTATTGTTGATGGGATACATTACCATCAAAACCTGGACTGGATTGATGAAATAAAACATTTACCAGGGTCATGAATATAAAAAGTCTTTCGCTATTGTTATTCGGATTTCTTCGAAGGCGACCTGAGGTCTGATGTAAAGACGGTATCCATCAGGAAATTGAGTAATTTTAATTTTCAATGGATAAAAACCTCGTACCAGGAAATTTTTAAGTCATATCGCTTTCTTTTTTACACTTTTCAAGGGATAAGAAAAGTTTCTTATGGGAGCCCGGGAATATAAATTTTACAGGAATTGACAAAACAAAGGTGAAATCGTCATTTCATTTTGTGAACTATTTGAAGCTTTCGCAGTTTGTTTTATTGGGCTTCCATAAGAACCTTTTCGCTTCTTTGGAGTTATTTCATATATAACCTATTACATTTATAAAATGCGACATGATTAAAATTATTTTGGTACAAGGTTTTTGTCCACAGAAAATTAAAATTACATAATTTCCCGGTGAATTCCGTCTTAATGTCTCAGTCGTTATTGCAGCCTATAAAAACGTCTTGGTACAGTTTCTGTTCTGAAGTTTAGGTCGGTTTAGTAACACCCCCCGGGGGAACTCCCCTATGAAAGTGACTGGCATGTGGTGCTCGTCGTACCTTTTAGGGGTATAAATTTGAGGATTGGTACCGCTTAGGGTGCAAAAACCTAAAATGACAGCTGCCAGAGTTACTAGGATAAAGATTTATGACAATACTTTCAAAAATTCCTTGAGGAGAAAGTGTTCCAAAGTTATCTTTATTACTATTAAAATTTACAGTGCCAGTTATATAATTGTTGTTGTTGAATTTGTACCTCTTAGGAGTGGAAATGAATTTGGGACACGCCATAAAACAAGATTCTGGTACCTTTTAGGGGCGTTCTGGAAATTTTCCGACGAGCACCCCGGTTACTTTAATAATAGCCAAGTTCATCCAAAAACTCCGAAAAAAGCCGTGCGGAGAATTACTGAATTCCAGCGATGTAAATTGGGACTCGGTCCTTCAAATAAAACATCTTGACAGACTTGTTATCTTGAGCTTTCGGTCAGGCTCCCATACATTCATGCACAAAAGACCGGTTAAATTCGCTTCCAGGCTATGCACGGGATATGTACAATCAGGATTGAGTTTAGTGCCTTATTTGGTTAATTTGCTGTTTTTTCAGGTACTACTACTACAAGGAGGGAGGGTAACCCTGGTGCTAGGGTTACCCTAGCACTCGCACATACATTAGACCGTGCTGGCAGAAATTTGCCATTTTAATACTCCAAAATTTAAGACCCTTTTTTGCCAGGCAAGATAAAAAGAGGTTCTTTTATGTGAGTAACACTTAAAATATGATAAACATTTCCATCAAGGAATTAATTCGAGATTGAAAATCTATAAGAAAATACTCCGAGTTTCAATATACATATGGACACTCTGAAATTAAGTTTGTAAGGACTGTGCTTTACTACAGCTGTAAATAAAAAATTGTTATTCGAGGTCCAAACCCGAGTTTATTTTTTTCCTATTAACCAACAATTACATCTCCTTCATATCAATGAAGAACCTAAGCTAAGAAGCAGTTACCTAATTTGCCAGAATGACCAATAACTAGCCCAAAAGACAATAATCTATTGTGCAAGACTTATTAAGGCCCGCAAAATATTAATTTATGTTTATCCTGATTAACACCAATTACATTACTTTTTATCTCATGCAAATGATTAACGTTTTAGGTCTTTTTCTTTGCCAGAGATTCACGAACCATGGGTGATCTCGATCAGTGATCTATTGACCATGCTTTTTGGTGTGTGCAGGTGGGTTGGAACATTACAAAATTGGCATGACTTCTAATATATCAATGCAAGTAGAACTTGCCCGCAGGCTGTAAAAGACCTAATTAAAAAAATGAAATAGTAAAAACTGGAACTTAAAGTAGACAATAAAAAAAAACTGCCGACGACTTTAGAATGTTGGCCATATGATTTCGCAAAACCTCACGAACATTAGGGCACCAAGTCCCTTTATAAAAGTGTAAAGTTTGATTCTTCCCTCTCTAAATGATCTGGCCCTGAGCTTTCATATGCATGATAAGGTTCGACTATGTGTGGGCAAAATTGGCGATGAGTAAAAAGGATTACAATTAAGATTTTTGAAACCAGTTCAACCTTAACGTTTTTCGAAGGTTTAAGTATATTTAACTATTAAATTATTAACCGCGCCATCCCCTCCAAAGATAAGCAGAGACCAGCCTTTACAAAGGATGTGACAGTCTTAACCAACGAATTCAATCAGTTTTTTGCTAAAGTCGGCTCAAATGCCGCTGACGCAGTACAGCGCCTGAGGGAAGAACATAACATCATAGTCCGAGATTTTTCATCCGAAACTGGCATAGATACTACCTCTATGGAATTATTCAATTTAAGGACAGTGTCACGTGAAGAGGTTCGCCGAATTGTAACATCTCTCCCAATGAATAAATCTCCGGGACCGGACAAGATCAGCGCTCGTGTACTAAAAGACTGTCTCCCTGTCATATTGGGCCCTCTTACTGACATCATCAATTGTTCTATCCTCACTAGCACATTTCCTGACAAACGCAAAGAGGCTGAGGTGATTCCGATTCTTAAAGACGGTGACCATGAAAAAGCTGCCAACAACAGACCGTTATCACTGCTAGCCATAGCTTCAAAGGTCTTCGAAAGGATTGTTTTGAATCAGTTCAGCGCCTATCTCACAAAAAAACCCCGCCTTACTTCACACCAAAGCGGCAATAAAAAAGCTCATTCTACAGAGACCTTAAACATCCTGCTCACGGATAAGATACTCGAAGCAATGAATAAAAAGCAGATAACAGCACTAGTACTATTAGATCTATCCAAAGCCTTCGACAGTACAGACCATGCAAGGTTGCTCCACAAACTCTCCATCTTAGGAGCCTCACCCTCTACTGTCAAATGGTTCAAGAGCTATTTAACTGGTCGCAGGCAATACGTGAGAATTGGCTCCGCCTACTCTGACACTCTACCTATAACTCACGGAGTTCCTCAAGGCGCAATCCTATCACCATTGTTAATTTGTTCTGCATTTATCTCAACGATTTACCCACGGCACCGACGTTTTGCAACCTAGAATCGTATGTGGATGACTAAAAGCTATTCTTGTCATTTCCTCTCGTTGAGCTTGATGCTGCCATTGAAAAGCTCGAACAAGACCTTCACAGTGTAGCTCAATGGTGCTGTGAGAACCATCTACTTATCAATCCCGATAAAACTAAACTCCTTTTCCTCGGTACCAGACAGATGTTAAGCAGGTTACCAGAAGACCCTAGAGTGGTATTCTTAGGTAAAACACTGAAGCCAACAGACTCTGCCAAGGACTTGGGAGTCTTTCTTGACCCCCATCTGACCTACGATCACCATATTTCATGTGTAGTGTCATCTTGTTTCGCAAAGCTTTGCCAAATAAATAGAGTCAAAAGGAGCTTCGACAAAGAAACACTAGAGTTGTTAATAACGTCATTAGTCTTTAGTAAGATGCTTTACTGCTAATCTGTATGGTCAAATACTACACTCCAGAATATAAACAGATTACAATCTATTCCGAATTTTGCCAGCAAGATCGTAACAAACTCAAGGAAGTTTGACCACGTAACACCTTTCCTTCGAGAGCTAAACTGGCTTCCTGTTAAAGAACAATTATTCTATAGAGACTCCGTTTTGACCTTTAAATGTCAGAACGATCTTGCACCTCAATACTTAACGAGCAAGTTTACCAAGCGCTCAAATATAAATACTCGTAACACTTGTACACGGAACTCTTTGCAGATTCCGCTATACAGAACGGCTATAGGCCAGCGCACATTTTCCTACAGAGGGGCCTACACATGGAATAACTTGCATAATGAACTTAGTCAAAGTGCCTCATTGGCATCTTTCAAGCGCGCCCTGAAAGACACACTATTGAGGCAGACATTTCCTTCATAAGCTCTAGAATTTAGTAGAATACCATCATAAATTGTGATTTCGAGTTTTTATTGTCATTTTTCATTTTATAAATTGTAAATAGTTTGTAAATAGTTCCTGAAAATCCTCACGAGGATGTTACTTAGTATTAAAGTTATTATTATTGTTATTATTGTTATATCTCCGTTAATATAATGCTCAGGAGACGTAATTAATTGTTTGTTATGAATCATTCTGATTGTGTTGTCTACAAGTAAAAATAAAATAAAAATTGACTAGACTGTCTTGACACAGCCCATTCAGGCCTTGAACGTCCCTACTTACAGCTCACAGAATCTTATATACCTGGTGGGTCTATTTTCTCATGAAGGGCAAGGTAGTGTGGGGCTTTTTGGTTTCTTTTTTGAATTCACTTTATTTAAAGTAGTAAGCAGGTAAGCATGGAATGGAAAACTTTTGCTGACCAAGCCCCTGTGCTTAGTTAACGTGTCAACAGGCACCGTAATAGTAGTAACAAAAGAACAGGGAGTTGTAATCAAGGGCCCACTCGACTGAATGCACTGAAACTCAGTTGCTAGCACTCACGTTACATCGCTGGAAGCATTTCTCTCACCCATCCCTCTCGCTTGCGCCTTATCTCGCGGCATGCTTCGCTCTTCAGTCGGAATGGTTAGTTTAATTGCAGGCTCTAGTGCATGTATGTACTTTCTGTAAAGGCTATCTTACCGCCTGCTCCATCCTTTAGCAGTTGATACGATGGAACTGTCCATCGGTCCCATCAGACATTACAACTGCACTTACCACTAGAGCATGAGTTTGCAAGTGTTCCCCTACCTGCAGTCAATGCAAAGTCTTTTAATGTACCACAGGACACTCAAGTCCAGTATGAGAGTATTAAACTCCATAAACACGTGTGGTATAATATTGCCTAAAATTGCCTAATCCTCACATGGCAGTGAATTCATATAAAGGATTTGTATGGAAAATTTCAATTAAAATCCTTTATGTTCACCGCCATTTGACGATTACGCAACATGATACAACACGCACTATCACACTGAGCTTGCGTTGCCTGTACACTCTTTTTTTTCTATACGAATATATTTTATAAGAATATGAGGCTGAAATTTGCAAAATTTTAAGAAAAAAAAAACAAAAAAACAAACAACAACAACGAGGGGGTGGGGTAGGGGTGAGAGCCTCTCTCTCTCTTTTCCTCGCTCCCTTCCTTCGCGCCGCATTCCACTGCCCGAACGCCTGGAGCAGGCCTAGGCTATGCTGATGACAGTTCGATGAACGATACATGAAATACATATCTATAGTATACAGCAATAAATAAATAAATAAATAAATAAATAAGCAAACCGCAAAAAGAATATGATAAATTCTTTCTTTTTCAATTATAGTTCAAGAATAATACAAGAATATTTTTAGGCTAAAATCGGCAGAAAAGTAAGAATATTAAGCCCGGCCCGAAAAAACAACATTCTTAATTATAAAAAAGAGAGTGTAAGTGCAAAAATTCTATCAGTCTTTTGACCTTGGTGTAGTCAAGAGTTTAATATGGCAAACGTCGAGTACTGCATACTCTTGTTCACAACTCTCAACAAGAGGGATTAAGGCCTGTTCAAACACTGTACTACATGTATCCTTGGACGGATCAAACTTACACCTGACATTATTATTAAATTGTGATCAGATGAGGAACGATCGATTGCGATTAAACTTTTCCAATCATCTTTACAAAAACGCAAGTCAAAGCAATTTTGAAACATCAGAAGTGCTTATCAGAACCACAAGTTCCCCCTGGGACCAGGGCCGGACATTGGTATTCCTGCCTGTCTGCCTTGTCTACATTTGGGTCTCGGATTGGTCAGCAAAACTTGTAGAAAATACTTTCGACATTAAAAGATGTCCAAAAAGATAAATACGTCAATGTGCATGCCACTAACGTAAGTATTCAGGTCTGCAACAAAATATAGTGCGTTCGACTTATACTTAAACGCAATGCGAATTGCAAGGGCTCATTTCAAAAGTAGGCTAAATAGACTTTGTCATGGCAACGGAGAACACAGTTCAGCTCTATTTGATTGGCTTCTATAAAGACCTCATTACGTCACTTGTAATTCAGTATAAGGTACCTAAAAGGTCAAACGGGCGTCGATAAAACCCGGAACATGGAACATCCCGGAACATGAATAAATTAAAACATTTTTTTATGAAAAAATAATTAATTAATTAAATAATGATAATAATAATAATAATAATAATAATAATAATAATAAAAATAAAAATAAACAATAAAAAGAACAATAGATAGAAAACAATTTTTGCAAAAATTTATGATAACAAGAATAAATAACATAACATAACATAAAAACGAAAAATAAAGAAACATACAAAGAAAGAAAGAAAAAGAAACTGGTGTCATCTCAGAGTATGAAAAAACAATTTTTTGTCGCAATGAATTTTTTTGGGCGAGTGAGGGTCCATTCAAATGACAGCAAATGAGTGAAGGCTTGCTTCTAAATTCAAAATATATTAAAATGGGTCGCGAGGAGGGGTTTTTCAAGCTTTCCTTACACAGACACCTCTTGTAAATGTTTGCCATGCGGTTTAACGGTTATCCATTTACGGCTTTGCGACCGTAAGAAGAGCTTAGGGGCTCGTCGCTTTAGACTTGGACAATTAAATTAAAGATTCACGTTGCAGTGGCAGTGGTAGCGCAGCGATAGTTTCTAACTGTTATCAGTCAGCCTGAATTTTAGCCGTCTCCCCCCAAACTCCTCTTGCGACTCGAGGAGACGTCTGAAATATCATGCTGACTGTAAACAGTATAGAAACTACTACGAATGTGAGTATTGTCCACTAAAATCCAAAGACAGGAGCCCCTATACTCTTCTTAAGTTCACAGAGCCGCCTCGTCTGTAAGTAATTCATGTCAACCTCAAGTGAAGCAAAGCAGCCCAAATAAGCAAATGTCGGTAAATATATATAAGGAGACTGTATGTCGGCTTGAAATGAGCTACTTACCGACTTGGCTTGACATGAAATACTGCACCAACATTTCGAACCATTGCAGAACTGTAAATGGTTAACCGCCAAATGATTAACTTATGGCAAACAATTACAAGAGGTGGCTATGTGAGGAAAGCTTGAAAACCCCCCACCTCGCGACCCATTTTAATGTATTTTGAATTAGAAGCAAGCCTTCACTCATTACTGTCATTTGCATGAACCCTCACTCGCCCAAAAAACTTCATTGCGACAAAATATTGTTGGGCGAGTGAGGGTTCATGCAAATGACAGTAATGAGTGAAGGCTTGCTTCTAATTTGTTGCGACAAAATATTGTTTTCCCATACTCAGACAGGATACCAGTTTCTTTTTCTTGATTATTTCATTATTTTTCGTTTCTTTTGTTAGTTTACGTTACTATTAATTTTTACAAAAATTTTATCATTATTATTATTTTATTATATTTTTTTTTCATGAAAATTGTTTTTATTTTTTTCATTTTCCGGAATGTTCCGGAATGTTCCGGCATGTTCCGGAATGTTCCATGTTCTGGGTTTTATCGACGCCCAAGGTCAAACTGCGATCTTATATCTTTGGAGGGGGAATTGTCTTCTCTCTCTGTCTTGCTTCGACAAAAACCTTATGGTTTTCTTATTTTCGAACGAAAGGGCTGGTGATTCGCATATAATTTACAGTCTTGGATTCCTATGGCTCTTTAAATGAACGAAGATCACGTTTGACGGCTTCAGTTCTCGGCTCAGATCCTGCCAGACCCGAGATCTAGACGACTGACTACTCAATCGATCCGCCAAGATTTAGACGGGTATGTAAGTTGGTTTACAACTGGAACTTTTGTTATTATGATAAGTTAAACACTATTTAAGCAACCTGCTTATTTTGTTGGTAGGCTGTTTGAACTAGCCGATATCACGATCCAGATATTTTAAAGTCGCGGTTCTCTCAATTCTTCCGTGATCTTTCCTCTCCAAATAGTCAGGATCGAGTTTCTTTTGGCAGCTGATCGCATGACGCCTTTTCTCCAGTCCAATCACGCCAACTTAAATATTTAATCACATCATGGCGAGTTTTAACAACTCTGTTTACACTTTGCAAAGTTACACAGTGTTCAATTACTTTTTTCATCGAGAATGGTTTGAACAATGTTTTCGATCAACATAAATATAACATTGTTATACAAAGCTGTTAGCACGCCGCTTTCGAGTTTACAAATAACTTCGGAACATGGGTAATTGGCTAAGTTATTTACACACTTGTATTTTTCGCCGGATCTTTCACATAAACATTTCTTGATTTTCAACTTCGTGAAATAAGGGTTTGATTGTAATGGACCGTTTAATGTATTCAGTATTTTAATAACAATGAGATCAATTGAGTCATCCTCGCGAATATATTTCTTCAAACACCATCAAGTTGCTTAGACAAAGAAATTCGTATAAGACTTGCCTTCTGTCGTAGTCAGTTAACAAAAGGTCACAGCGCGCAGTTTACTTTCAGAAAAATGGTTGAGTCGTTTAAAAATAATAAACAAGTCCAGGAGTAATCGCTCCTGACAAGTCATATAAAAAACCAGACAGCTTTCAATTCAAATGAACGGTCTTATTGAGAAAACACAAAAAGCTATTGAAATCAACATTCAATTAAGCTTAAAGGTATTCACATGCAGATTCTTTTGTTCCTTTTTTAAAAAATTTCTATACTAGCCACTTTCGTTCCACGTAACGAATCACTACAGAGAATAAAAAGGCGCTTTTTACCTCTTTTTGAAATAAATAAAGGGAAATTAAGGGAAAACCCCGACTCTACCGGATGTCTCCAGAAAATTAGCTTTCAGTGTTTATAACTGACAATAGCTCCCAAAAATTTGACATTCCGCTTGTTTATTGACTGAAAGTGCAATATTAGGCAATATATTCAATCACTTGGAAAGAAGGTCCATAGTAAATCTCAAACAACAACATCCGGCTTACGGAGTCGATTTTACTTCGACATTAAAACACTTCATTGATTAACTAATCTTACGGCTTGTTTGCATGGAGGTGGGGGACCCCAGGTAGGTAAGGGAACCCGCTTTGGTAGGTAACCCCCCTGTCCACATAATCTCTCATTTTAATTTGATCACGTTTACATGATAGGTGGGGTGACCCGCCGCATGTTACCTCACCTATCTGCGGTCCCCCACTTCCATGTAAACAGCCCCTTAGGACCAATAATCAATTTCCTTGTTATTTGTGTTAAAATTTAATTTAAAAGTATAAAGACTTAGAGTAAAGAAAACGTCATTTTTGAAAAGGATCCAACCCCCTTTTATACCGCCGAGAGGATACGGTGCTGTTGGATACGGTCAATTTTTTCTCAGTACGTTGGTAACAGGCCGCTAGGTTCAACTGTACATTGTATATAACTGTTTAATTGTTTATTAATTGTGGCAAATTTTACAGAAAGCAATATCCACTGTCCGCAGTAGGCAAATTCGCTACTCCAGGCGAGCAGTGGTTACACGTATGTGATATATATATAACTACATCACAAGAAAGACTAGAGAAAAAAAGTAAAAAATGTTAAATACATAAACAAATAAATAAAAATTCAATTCAATTTAAACAATCATGTACATTGCAAATATAAGAAGCCGAGTTTTCAGACAGAGTAGAGACAAGGAAACACTAGAGTTGTTAATAACGTCATTAGTCTTTAGTAAGATGCTTTACTGCTCATCTGTATGGTCAAATACTACACTCCAGAATATAAACAGATTACAATCTATTCAGAATTTTGCCAGCAAGATCGTAACAAACTCTAGGAAGTTTGACCACGTAACGCCTTTGCTTCGAGAGCTAAACTGGCTTCCTGTTAAAGAACAATTGTTCTATAGAGACTCCGTTTTGACCTTTAAATGTCAGAACGATCTTGCGCCTCAATACTTAACGAGAAAGTTTACCAAGCGCTCAAATATACATACTCCTAATACTCGTACACGGAACTCTTTGCAGATTCCGCTATACAGAACGGCTATAGGCCAGCGCACATTTTCCTACAGAGGGGCCTACACATGGAATAACTTGCATAAAGAACTTAGTCAAAGTGCCTCATTGGCATCTTTCAAGCGCGCCCTGAAAGACACACTATTGAGGCAGACATTTCCTTCATAAGCTCTAGAATTTAGTAGAATACCATCATAAATTGTGATTTCGAGTTTTTATTGTCATTTTTCATTTTATAAATTGTAAATAGTTTGTAAATAGTTCCTGAAAATCCTCACGAGGATGTTATTTAGTATTAAAGTTATTATTATTATTATTATTATTATTATTATTATATCTCCGTTAATATAATGCTCAGGAGACGTAATTAATTGTTTGTTATGAATCATTCTGATTGTGTTGTCTACAAGTAGAAGTAAAACAAAAATTGACTAGACTGTCTTGACACAGCCCCTTCAGGCATTGAACGTCCCTACTTACAGCTCACAGAATCTTATATACCTGGTGGGTCTATTTTCTCATGAAGGGCAAGGTAGTGTGGGGCTTTTTGGTTTCTTTTTTGAATTCACTTTATTTAAAGTAGTAAGCAGGTAAGCATGGAATGGAAAGCATTTGCTGACCAAGCCCCTGTGCTTAGTTAACGTGTCAACAGGCACCGTAATGGTAGTAACAAAAGAACAGGGAGTTGTAATCAAGGGCCCACTCGACTGAATGCACTGAAACTCAGTTGCTAGCACTCACGTTACATCGCTGGAAGCATTTCTCTCACCCATCCCTCTCGCTTGCGCCTTATCTCGCGGCATGCTTCGCTCTTCAGTCGGAATGGTTAGTTTAATTGCAGGCTCTAGTGAATGTATGTACTTTCTGTAAAGGCTATCTTACCGCCTGCTCCATCCTTTAGCAGTTGATACGATGGAACTGTCCATCGGTCCCATCAGACATTACAACTGCACTTACCACTAGAGCATGAGTTTGCAAGTGTTCCCCTACCTGCAGTCAATGCAAAGTCTTTTAATGTACCACAGGACACTCAAGTCCAGTATCAAAGTATTAAAATCATTAACACGTGTGGTATAATATTGCCTAAAATTGCCTAATCCTCACATGGCAGTGAATTCATGTAAAGGATTTGTATGGAAAATTTCAATAAAAATCCTTTATGTTCACCGCCATTTGACGATTACGCAACATGATACAACACGCACTATCACACTGAGCTTGCGTTGCCTGTACACTCTGTTTTTTCATACGAATATATTTTATAAGAATATGAGGCTGAAATTTGCAAAAGTTTAAGAAAAAAAACAAAACAAAAAACAAACAACAACAGCGAGGGGGTGGGGTAGGGGTGAGAGCCTCTCTCTCTCTTTTTCTCGCTCCCTTCCTTCGCGCCGCATTCCACTGCCCGAACGCCTGGAGCAGGCCTAGGCTATGCTGATGACAGTTCGATGAACGATACATGAAATACATATCTATAGTATACAGCAATAAATAAATAAATAAATAAGCAAACCGCAAAAAGAATATGATAAATTCTTTCTTTTTCAATTATAGTTCAAGAATAATACAAGAATATTTTTAGCTTAAAATCGGCAGAAAAGTAAGAATATTAAGCCTGGCCCGAAAAAACAACATTCTTAATTATAAAAAAGAGAGTGTAAGTGCAAAAATTCTATCAGTCTTTTGACCTTGGTGTAGTCAAGAGTTTAATATGGCAAACGTCGAGTACTGCATACTCTTGTTCACAACTCTCAACAAGAGGGATTAAGGCCTGTTCAAACACTGTACTACATGTATCCTTAGACGGATCAAAACACCTGACATTATTATTAAATTGTGATCGGATGAGAAACTATCGATTGCGATTAAACTTTTCCAATCATCTTTACAAAACGCAAGTCAAAGTAATTTTGAAACATCAGCAGTGCTTATCAGAACTTGACCACAAGTTCCCCCTGGGACGATTCGAGGAATACCGACTGGGTCTCGGATTGGTCAGCAAAACTTGTAGAAAATAATTTCGACATTTAAAGATGTCCAAAAAGATAAATACGTCAATGTGCATGCCACTAACGTAAGTATTCAGGTCTGCAACAAAATATGGAGCGTTCGACTTATACTTAAACGCAATGCGAATTGTAAGGGCTCATTTCAAAAGTAGGCTAAATACACTTTTTCATGGCAACGGAGAACACAGTTCAGCTCTATTTGATTGGCTTCTATAAAGACCTCATTACGTCACTTGCAATTCAATATAAGGTACCCAAAGGGTCAAACTGCTTTCTGATGTCTTTAGAGGGGGAATTGTCTTCTCTCTCTGTCTTGCTTCGACAAAAACCTTATGGTTTTCTTATTTTCGAACGAAAGGGCAGGTGATTCTCATATAATTCACCATCTTGGATTCCTACGGCTCTTTAAATGAACGAAGATCACGTTTGACGGCTTCAGTTCTCGGCTCAGATCTTGCCAGACCCGAGACGACTGACTACTCAATCGATCCGCCAAGATTTAGACGGGTATGTAAGTTGGTTTACAACTGGAGCTTTTGTTATTATGATAATTAAAGTTAAACACTATTTAAGCAACCCGCTTATTTTGTTGGCAGACTGTTTGAACTAGCCGATATCACGATCCAGATATTAAACCGTGACTTTCTCTCAATTCTTCCGTGATCTTTCCTCTCCAAATAGCCAGGATCGAGTTTCTTTTGGCAGCTGATCGCATGACGCCTTTCCTTCAGTCCAATTTACGCCAACTTAAATATGTAATCACATCATAGCGAGTTTTAACAACTTTGTTTACACTTTGCCAAAGTTACACAATAGGGCCATTTATACGAGGAAAAATAAGACGCGTCTTACATAAGACGCGTCTTAAATAAGACGCGAACTTTCAGTATAAACGGTACATTTGTCTTAAATAAGACGCGACTTAGCTAAGACGCGTCTTATTTTAGACAAAATGTACCGTTTACAATGTATACGGAAAGTTCGCGTTTTATTTAAGACGCGTCTTATGTAAGACGCGTCTTATTTTTCCTCGTATAAATGGACCTATTGTTCAATTACTCTTGTCATCGAGAATGGTTTGAACAATGTTTTCGATCAACATAAATATATCATTCTTATAAAAAACTGTCAGCACGCCGCTTTCGATTTTGTAATTGAATTTGGGTAATTGCCTATTATGCACACTTGTATTTTTGTTATCTTTCAGATAAATATTTCTTGATTTTCAACTTCGTGAAATACGGGTTTGATTGTAATAGACCGTTTAATGTATTCAGTATTTTAATAACAATGAGATCAATTGAGTCACCCTCGCGAATATATTTCTTCAAACACTGTCAAGTTGCTTTGTATCAGACAAAGAAATTCGTATAAGGTTTGCCCTCTGTCGTAGTCAAACAAAAGGTCACAGTTTACTTTCAGTAAAAATAAACAAATCATACATAAAAACAGACAGCTTTCGATTCAAATGAACGGTCTTTTTGAGAAAACACAAAAAGCTATTGAACTATTCACTTGCAGATTCTTTTGTTTCTTTCTTTTTTTTTTTTCTGTACTAACTTGCCTGCGTGCAGACGTCTCCTTTTTCGTTTGTTGCACGCGTGCAACAAAGGAAATAGGAGACGTCTGCGCGCAGGCAATGTACTAACCGCTTTTGTTCCACGTGACGAATCACTACAGGGAATAAAAAAGCGCTTTTTACGAACTCCAGGGCTTTTGGAAGGCTCAAAACGGGTCTAAAACAGTTTTTAAATACCTTATAAATCGGAATAAAAACAGGATAAAGACAGTTTCAAAAACATATTTTAATTTGCTACACTATTTTAAAACTATTTTTAATGGCAATTTTAAACGTATTAAAAAAAAAAACAGGTTTATAATAGGTACAAAATATTTTTCAACTGATTTTAGTACTGTTTTAACCTGTTTAAAACGCTATTAAAATGTTATGCTTCCAAGAGAGAATGATCTCGTTTTCTCATTTTTTCATTAGCTCATTTTCTCTTGATGCTTCAAAATATTTTTTAATGCTGTTTAATCGGTTTCGAAATTTAGTAAAATACTCGTATTTGCAAATACAATAACAATACTTTGAAAATAGTATTAACATACCACAGAAGAAGAAAAGCAATAGCACGCATATATGATGAAAAGACATCAAAAATAGAATGCAAAGATGCAAAAACAGTATAAAATTGTAAGAAAATAGCCTTAGAGTTGTCTGAAAACAGTACAAAAATCGGTCGAAAAAGGCCGCATAAAAACAGTACAAAAACAGGATGGAAATTATAATACCCACTTAAGAGAAGACTCTTGGAAGAGCGCATGCACCGCCGAGAACCTGAGCAAAGGAGTCATACCCATTTTTGATTCGTGGTAAAAGCAACATCTACGTGTTCAGACAATCCGCAGAGTTGAAGTGTACTTTTGAAAGATCGTAACAAACAGTAAAATCAAGCGCATTTACGCTAACAGCAACCGCCGGTTCAATAATTTGAAATGAGCAAAGGACAAAGGACGGTTTGTTTATCACGTGACTTTGTCACATCATCACGGCGCGAAGTCGCGATTTCAGTCGCGCGTGACATCTCAAAAATTTTATGCCATGCATGTGCGGAATAATCTATGAGAGAAAGATAACCATATGTCGGAGTTTATTCAGATCTGAGCGTTGTTTCTTGATGCAATATATACGAGGTGGGATCTTAGCTTGAACAGTTTATTTATTATGTAATTTCAAGGGCTTATTTTAGATAAACCTCTGTTGACCGCGTGCATCCGGTTCTCGGCCCGCGGCTTCGGCTGTTTGTGAAAAATTTCTATATGAAATTAAAATGCGATTTTAAGAAGTTTCTTTTAAAAAAACTTTTGGAA